AGAGTAGCCTACTAGTAAGAATATATAGAAACTAGCTAAGAATTTGCAGAACGCGCAGCTATTAGTATAAGAGTACCTTTAGGCTTGTTTAAAAAAAACTAGCTAGGTAATAAGGCACCTATATTAAAAGGAATAGCTATGTTATTATTAGATAGTAGCAGCCTTTAGAGACAAGTCTTAGCTAAGAAGGGCTGCAGAGGGGAACAGCCCTCTGCCTTAGCCTTAAGAGCTTTTATCTTGTCTAAGAAGGAAAGGTCCCCCTCTAAGTACTTTGCGCAACAAGCCTCTAGCAGATCTAGTAATTTCTAGATATAATCTTGTTTAAAACGCTTCTTAGCCTTTGCCTCTAGAGTCTTCTAAACCTAACGTAACATCTTGTTATTAAGCTCCTACTTATAAACCTTTGCAGTAGACACTTTTTAAAGAAGCGTTTTTCTTTCTTTCTCTAGCTAATCCTACACAGCATTAGAAATAAAGGCGTTACACTTGCTATGCTTTCTTACACACTTAACACACCTGTCTAAGGATAATGTTAACACACATAATAACCTAGAGGATTAGTAAGCGCTGCAGGGCCTTATCTTTGTCTAGTAAAGGGGATTAAAACAAAGAGCAACATAAGAACAATAGAAGGAGCAGGACTAGCAAGCTATTTAGTTTAAGAAAGATAAATATTAAGGATGCCTTTTAGCAGGTAGACACCTACTTTATAAACAAACCCTTACTAACACAGTTGTGTGAGCAGAGCGGCGAGGACGCTGCTGGGAAGAAGGGGCAGCGTGTTACGGTCTACAGTTGGACCAGCGTAACTCCACCGGCAGTGCTCCACAATCTAGCTGGATTGGGGCAGGGCTCGCTTATGGACCAGTCGGAGGACACGGACGCAGCACAGCTGCCTGCGATAACGGAAGAATGTGTTGTCTAATAGGAGGACAGGCCACGAGTTCAGGGAGCTCAGGGGAGCTCATGGAGCTCGTCTTGACAGACTACCATAAACTCCCTCCGCTCCCCTTAGCACCCCTAGCACATGTATATAATTCCTGTATTAAACAACCTTTAGAAGGCGTGTTTAACATTTAGTTTATTCTTTACATAGACTAAGTAGCATTTAGCTTTCTAAAGAGCTGCAATACTAATTATATATCTTGCACTATATATACCTCCAACCCTGTCCAACAGGACTGTTTGACCTAGCCTCCCTACTGCCGCATTAAGGGCAAACCACAATCCGGTCACTCTTCCCCTCTCCAATAGCCCATTAGCCTGTACGTAGGACTGTACACCCTACCGGTTGGCCCCTACTACCCGTTCTACTCTCCCCTAGGAATATTATTAGACCCGAGTGCTTCCCTGAAGCAAGGATTGTAACATAGTCTTACACCTTTAAAGGGACTGCTTTTTTTCTTAGAGAAGCTACGTGTGTGTGTTAGATTGAAGCACTGTTTCTAGGCTTCCTAAGATGAATGATGGGTTTGGATATGATGTATAGGATGATGATTGATTGTATTGATTTATTGATCCTTTTTCTGCTCTACTCGTGTTGCTCGGCTTTTTGTTTTGCCGATCCGAGTCCCTCGCACACTTGCCCTATGCGCGACCAGCTTGCAACATGCTGCAATTTGCAGCAACATACTGTTCGAGCTTATTGCTTGTACTATGTAGCAGCTTTCGTCAAGCGTTCCTCCTGTCTTAACAGTAGGTGCGCATATCTGACAGTGTGCTTAGCGTAACTAAGGTCTATAAGTTTACTATTAAACTATAGAGTTTCCTTCTTTTTCTAAAACTAGTTAGGTTTTAAAGTTGTTATGCCTATTCTTTTCTTCTTATTTTACTTAGCATGTCTTTTATTATAGGTAAGTGCTTTCTTAATGTAATCTTTAAAGCTCTTAGGCTTCTTTATGTAAGTAAATTTATTTTTAATTATATCTAAAAGCCTATTATAGAATATTTATTTTATTGCTCTTTTATCTGTCTATCTGCAGATAGCTAGCAGCTCTCTAAAGCAGGCTGCATAATGTTAGATAGAGCTTTTCTCTTGTTATAGAAAGTCTATCTTATTAACTGCTTATTTTTTTAATTAACTAGCCTATAAATTGTAGTTAAGGCTGCTTTAAAAGAGTTAAGGTTTTTAAAGACTTTCTATGTTTCTAATAATAAGAGCTTACTGTTTACTTAATAATTTATCTAATTATTAGCATAGAGTTAAAACTATATAGTAGGTAATCCTTCTAAGTGTAGGCTTATTTATAAGATTATTTCTTTATCTATTTTAAAGGCACCTTTGTTGTATTACATGTAGAAGTAACACTTTATAAAGAAGAGTTTTAAGTCTTTAGCAGAGCTGTTAAATGCTTTAAAGGGGGCTAGGTATAAGGTCTTCTTTAATTTAACACTAGTTTTTTCTTATATAATGTTTCTAAGATTAGCTACTTCTAGCTAGAGGGCCTGTAGCTAATAGATATTTAAAGGCCTTTATTATGCTTATTGCTAGAGGTGTTGCTTAAGCTGTTTTAACTTATTATAAAGATATAATATCTGCTAATTCTATGCCTCTTTAGTTGCTATAGAGGTCTAGCTAGTGCTAGCAGCTAAGGCGCCTGTTATGCTAATGTCTAAGGTGGTAGTAGCTATACTTTGTAGGTAGTAGTAATTACTGTTATAATCCTTGCTCTGCTAAAATAGTGTTTTTTAGAAGCACTACAGCCTATAGTATGTTAATAGAGAAAAGGGGAAGGACTTAGCTAGATTAGGTGTACAGTCTGTTAAGCAGAGTGTAGGATAGGCAGGGTAAAGAAGGCAGGTTGTAGTTTAGCCTAGCGGCTGTATAGGGAGCTAGCAAACCTAATCTAAAAGAATAAGAAAGAAGGTATATATAGTGCAAGATATACAAGGCAGTAATGTTCTTATTATAAAGGTTTTAATGCCTCTTAGTCTATTAAATAAGTAAAGACTAAATAGTAATCACAGCTCTTCTAACTATAGCTGTGATTAGAGCTATATACATAGGGTTTACATGCTTGCTGTCTGCATAGCCTGCATAGCCTGCAAGCCTGCAAGGCCTGCGGTTTTATTAGATAGTGCATTCTGTTAGGCTTTTGTCTAAAAGCTAAAGCCATTCCTCATCTGTCCTGTCACGTGATTTGTTCAACGTGGAGCTAAGCGTCTTCTATCTAACGTTGCTTAGGCTGTGTAGGACAGCTAATTAGGTTATTACAGTCTGTCTGTTAGCTGTAACAGTTACATACTTTATTACTACTACTACTTGTTAATAATAAGCTCTAGCAGTTGTAAACTTTAAGTAATACTTTTAAATTTAAGTTATAATTAATGCTTATAAAAGTAAAAATTTAGAGGTATATAAATAGCTTACTAATGTCTATAGTAGAGGCTTTTAAAAAGGTTTTAAAAAGGGCAGTAATTATTACACATAAGCTAGTGTTAGCGTAAAAGAAGATTATAGAGCTTTAAGTAGTAAATAAGGCTACTATGTAATGTAGATTGCATAAAAGAAAGTAGATTTAAGTAAAAAAGACTTTAATAGTTAAGAATAGAGCTTGTCTAACTGCTTTAAAAGAGTTTAAAGCGCGTAGTAATAGAAAGAAGCTAAAGACACAAGTGCGCGCTAAAGGAAGTAAGCTAAGTTAAAAGAAATATAAGTAGTGTAATTAAACTAGGTATAACTTACATATGTGTAAAAAAGTAGTAAAAGTAGACTTTAAATAATATCTTATGTTGTATTACTCTATATAGGGCTAAAGTAGGCTGTTTTGCGCTAGAATAGTGTAGTTTTAGTAGGGGCTTAGCAAAAGTAGCTAGCTAACCTGTGTAGCTAGCCAACCTGTTAGGTACGTTAATATAAATTATATAAAAGAAAGCAGATTAAAGTAAAAAAGACCTTAATAATTTAGAAAAGCCTACGCTTAACAGCTTTAAAGGAGTTTAAAGCGCGCAGTAATAGGAAGAAAGTAAAGAAGCAGGTGTAAGCTAAAGTAGGTAAGCTATTCTAAAGACGCTGCAGATAGTGTAATTAGACTAGGCATAACACGCAAATGTGTAAGTAAGAAGTAAAAGTAGTATCTAAATAATATTCTAGGCTGTACTGTACTAGATAGTGCTAGAGCGGGTTGTTATAGGCTATAATAGAGTTTGTTAGGGTAGAGTCTTAGCAAAAGTAAGCAACTCAGGTGTGTAAGCTACTCGCCCGTGAAGTACGTTAGCATAAAGTAAAGAAATATGCTAAAGAGATATCTAGCTAAAGTGTAATTATAAATATAATAACTACCTACGCATATAAAACATAAGTCTAGGTAAGAGAGACTTTTAGCTAAACTCTCTAACATTACTAGAATAAATTTAAATACTATAACTAGCTATGTATATAATTTATAAGTGTAAAAAGCTAATAAATTTATAAAGAGTTTATTATACTTTATATATATATATAAGAATTAAGGCAACACGCGCAGCTATATTACTGTTCTTATATAGTTAAGTTGCTAGAGGTGTAAGAGGATCTATTGCACAAACGCTAGGCCCCTAAGGTAATTAATTAAACACAGGGTTATCTCTACAACCTATAGTGCAGTTTTGCTAAAAAGTATACTAATTAACATAGAATTAAATAAATTAGTTTATTCTTGCGCTAAGCTAGGCAATAGAAGCAATAGAGAGATATTAGGTCGCGTTAAAGTTAGAAGAAGGTGGATTTTCCTATACAAATCTAGGCCCCTAAGCTACCAAAAATTACACGGGCGACTAGACCCTCCTGCGGAGGACCCCTCACGACACGTGACCCCTCACGGCACGTGATCCGGGAACGTGCCCTGTTACTCGGGCCAAGACAGGGGGGTTGGTTATTACTAGACTAGCAAACACTGTGCCTCAAACACTTCGCCGCCTTTCACCCACAACAGGCCGAAACCGAGAAACGACACCTCTAACGTTCTTTCTCCTAGAAATTACAGCAGCAACACCTCCTGTTGCACCCAGTCGGATACGATATGACAACACCGTCGCCAGCTCCAGCTCCAGCGCCAGCGCCAGCGCCAGAGCGAGAAGGCGTCGTGGCGGTGCGAGGTGACGAACGAGCCATTCTCGACCGGCAGCTGCATGGGCTCCCCCGTCTCGAGGGTGAAAGCGTCGCCAAGCCTACCATTCAGCAGTATGCGAACACGACCGATAGAGTTGTGCTAGGCGTTGCCGCCATATGTGCCGTCGTCGCAGGCGCGGTGAACCCGTTGGTCCCGGTACGTTGCCCGAATTCTCGTCCTGAACATAACGCCCGTCTTTGTCTGCTTGCTAACCTTGGTGCGCGATACAAAGGTCATCTATGGCCTGTTCGTGGGCGTCTTCGAGGATTTTAGCAAGGGCTCGGTGAGCGAAGCCCAGCTACGGAGCAAAGTCGCCATCTTCGCCGTCTACTATGTCTACCTCGCAATTGGGCTCTTCATCTTCAGCTTCCTGGCCACCGTCGGTTTCTTCTGGAGCGGTGAGCGCATCACCCGAGCGTTGAGGACCACCTATCTATCTGCTGTCCTGCGTCAAAACATGGCTTTCTTTGACATTCTCGACCCCGGCGAGGTCTCCAATCGCATCATGTCCGATATGGGGATCCTGCAAGAGGCCATTACCAGCAAGTTGGCCATCCTGCTTACTGCCATCGCTACCTTTTGTGCTGCCTTTGTCGTCATGTTCGTCATGTACTGGAAAACGGCTCTGATCCTCACACCTTTCTTTGTGTTCATGCTTGTCCTGGCATATCTATGCGGCGAACAGGCGGTTCGACATCAGAAGGCATCTCGCACACTGTTCAGCCACGCCAGTGGCATGGTAGGGGAGGCCTTTGGTGCCATCCGCCAGGTCTTGACCTTCGGAATGCAGCCCCTCATATACCGTCGTTACTCTGCTGCACTGACAGAAGCTGCGTTGGAGGAGCGCAAAGGCCAGAATATCTCGTCCGGGCTGATCGCAACCATGAACACGCTACCATGCCTCATCTACGCCATCGCTTTTTGGGCGGGATCCATCTACACGATGAAGGGAGACGTGTCTTCAGGGAGTATAGTGACGACGGTGCTCGCCGTCATCATTGGTATTTTTGCCCTGATACGCATCGCGCCCTCTGTCCAGGCGCTGACTATGGGCGTCGCCATCTCCTCCGTTCTTCTGGATACTATCGGCCGACGGTCCTCTCAGGATCCTCTTGCCGAACAGGGTGAAAAGCCCAGTATCGTGCGTGGTGAAATAAAATTAGATCAAGTCGACCTCATCTATCCTTCTCGGGATAGAGTCAAAGTCCTCAAAAATGTTTCTATGACGATCCCAGCGGGTAAGAAAACAGCGATAGTTGGCCCTTCGGGAGGAGGTAAGAGCAGTATCTTTGCCTTGCTTGAAAGGTTTTACGAACCTACCAACGGGAGGCTCATGCTCGATGGTCGAGACATTCAAACGCTTAATCTGCATTGGCTACGTCAGCAGATAGGGTTGGTGGACCAAGACCTCGTTCTTTTTGACGCGACGGTCATGGAAAATATCTGCTACGGCTGCTCCACCACCGGTTCTGTGCTGCATGACAAGGCAGTGGAAGCCGCGAAAAAGGGCCAAGTGCACGAGTTCATCCAAAGTTTGCCCGAAGGATATCATACGCGAGTAGGCGAGCGAGGTCTACAATTCTCCGGTGGCCAGCGACAGCGGCTGGCCATTGCTCGTGCCTTAGTTCGTGATCCCAAGATCCTCCTTTTTGACGAGGCAACCTCTGCGCTGGATTCCTTTTCCGAAAAGGCCGTTCAGGCCGCCATAGATGCTGCAGCGGAGCAATGCACGATCATTGTCATTGCACACAGGCTGTCGACAATCACTAACGCCGACCACATTGTGGTCATGGCCGAAGGAAGCGTTGCGGAGCAGGGGACGCATGCCGAGCTCATGTTTTGGAATGGATTATACGCAGATTTGATAGAACAGCAGCGGATTAAGGACGAAAGTTCTGACGTAGCCCTACCGTCACTTACTGATGAGAAAATCGATTCGACAGAGGTGCAAGCCCTTCAAGGAGCACACGAGGAAACCATGAAGGCTGCATCGCTCAAAATCGCTGAGTCAAACCTGGATCCTGATGAGCCGAGTCATGCAAACAAGAGGAGATCAATCTTGTTTATGCTTTCCATGAGCCGAGGAGATTGGAAAATGCTACTCGTCGGTCTTGTATGTGCCGTACTCGGTGGCTTAATGATACCTGCGTATGACTCCTTACCACCCTGTTCATGCCTCTAGAGACAAAAACTGATTCTTTTACCAGACAATCCGTACTGACGGCCGAGCTTATACCTACCGTATCACTGCCTTCAAACCGATACGGAGAGCTTCGACGTCGTACCAATCTTTATTGCGGTCTTTTTCTGCTTCTCGCCGGGGCCGGGCTGGTCTTCTGGATGGTGGTCTGCGTGACACTGTCTAGAGCGACACAGAATCTATGCCAAAGGATTCGAGAACGATGTTGTGAGCGCATCATGCAGATGGACGTGGCGTTTTTCGACAGGCCGGAAAGCTCACCGAGCGCGCTCGCGGGTGTTTTGTCCAAAGGCATTGACGACCTTGCAGGCATGGGTGGTCCAGTTATCGGCGGCATAATGACGTTCATGGCCACTATCGTTGGAGGCATTGTTGTTTCAGTGATCATTGGCTGGAAGCTGGCTCTAGTGTGCACAGCGACAATCCCGATCGTCGTTGCATGTGGCTGGCTCAGGCTACAAGTCCTGGCGTCATTTGACGCTAGGTCAAGGCAGAGTGGCTTCCGTGCAGCAATATATGCTGGGGAGCTTGTTCGATCCGTACGTGCCGTTGCTTCGTTGGGCATGGAGACACAGGCCATGGCGCTTTACGACAACTTTCTCATCGCCCAGGCCATGGACTCCTGGCGCCCCATCCTCTCCGCTTCAGTTCTATACGCCGCTTCACAGTCCGTTGTATACCTTTGCGCAGCTTTGGCATTCTGGTTTGGTGGGACCCTCATTGCCGCCGGCGAATACTCCGACTTCCAAGTTTACGTATGCATTATTAGTCTGGTCTCCGGGGCGCAAATCGCCGGATCTGTCTTCAACTTTGCACCAGATATGGGAAAGGCGGCTCACAGCGCACAAGACATTGAAAAAATACTGAAGGGGAACCAGGCCGAGCACGAATCAACTTCGGAAAAAGCTCAAGTTCCAGGAAATGGTTTGCCCGAAAGTTACGCGGAGTGCCACATCGATTTCCGCAAAGTTTCATTTAGATATCCTACCAGACCAACACAGCATGCCCTAGAAGATTTCACCATACGCGTCCCTGCCGGTCGAACACTTGCGCTGGTGGGACAAAGCGGAAGTGGGAAGAGTACCTGTATTTCGCTCCTCGCTCGATTCTACCAGCAGGAACAAGGCCAGATCACCATCGGTGGGGCCGACATCCGCGATATGGACATCCGACGTTATCGATCAGCCATTGCTCTTGTCAGTCAGGACGCGATCATATTTTCGGGGTCTCTGCGGGAAAATATCGCCGTGGGTCTGGTTGACGAAGTAGTGGACGATGCTCGAATTCTAGACGTATGTCGGCAAACCAACCTCATGGACTTCGTAGACTCCCTCCCGTAAGTCAACATCCCTGTTCCGCTCTAATCAACTGTCTGACTGGCACGCCGCCACCTATGCAGTGAAGGGCTATCAACCCACCTAGGAACCAGCGGGCGGATGCTTAGCGGCGGACAGAAGCAACGCCTTGCTTTGGCACGCGCGTTGCTGCGCGATCCCAAGATCCTATTACTTGATGAAGCCACTTCGGCGTTGGACAGCGAATCCGAGGCTGTAGTACAGCGGGCCATCGATGCGCTTCGCAAACAACGGACGACTGTCATGGTCGCTCACCGCCTTAAAACAGTCATGAATGCAGACATAATTGGGGTCATGGATAAGGGGAAGTTGGCTGAATTGGGCAGCCCCGCGGAGCTCATGGCTAAGAGGGGATTGTTCTGGAATATGGCACAGCTGCAGGATCTTGCTTGATTACTTGTATTATAATCTACGGAAAAGTTCGTGACGGGAGAATCTGGTCATCTCGCCATGTAATTTTTCACACTGGAAACTTTCAGAGAGATGAATGCGAGAATCTATAACGAGACGTAACTGGTCGGGTCTCCCGGGCCAACTACGTCCAGATCATTGATTGTACAGTAAGACAATGTAGCATCGCCTGGAGAATGGTCCCACAGTGACCCAGAATTTTCGTGACATTCACATGTAATTGGAAAACATATGGAGCTGGGGTCGAAGCCACTGATGGTGCCTAGTACGGGCCATATCTTGTCCGCATCAGGTCAGCGGCGCTTCGGCTCCTGCCCGTCAGCAAGCGAGTGCAATCTTTTCCTACCTAGGTAGTGCGGGGCTCGAGCTTAATTCAAAAGGCGCCGCCTTGCTGCTTCGTCGCCGGCTTCCTAAAGCCTCCAGTCTTTGATTTCAGCGCGCGTATTGGAATATGGCCACTACAACGTTCCAGATCTGGTCCGAAGGCAGTGAGTGCTACGCTATCAAGGCCTCTTGCCGCTACCAGCGACTAATGTTTCACAGGCTTGGCAGCCACCGTGGACGTTCAAGTCCTGGGAGTATCGCGTCACCCAAATACGCTCGCCGAATCAGTCGATTGCCTTTTTAGCAGTGTTGACCAAGGTCGGCACCTGGACAGAGCAGATGAATCGCTCCAAATTTACTCTATTAGCAAGCAAGAGCCTACGCAATGGACACCCGCGTCTTGTGGATCGGATAGCCGGTCCGATTTCTTTGTACAGGCTCTTTTGACCGCCTCAAATCCAGGCGGCCAGAAATTGATCAGATTCATCATACCGTTAACGGAGGGATACATTACACGCTCCGATATCGTTCCTCTCCGCTTTGTGGACTGTGCGCTCGTCGATCGGGTAGTATCTTTTGCAAAACCGTTGCAATGTTTCGAGACGAAGACGGGCCAATCCCTATCCATATCGGAAATCATTAAAGTGGCCACGGCCGGAATCTGTGCAAAAGGCGAGCCGTCCACCGACCTGGACGTACTTATACCAGGCCTTGACCAGGAAATTGACAACCGTCTCTCTTTTCCTTGGATAGTCCCTGGAACGCCTGTGGAGAAGACACTTGCGCTTGTGACGGCAAACGGCGCATTTCTAGAAATCGACGACTTTGGTATAAGAAGAGCTGTGGCCGCAATGGGGATCCGTTTGATTCTCCTCGAGGTGCCCGGTCACTGGCTTGAAAACAACACTACCGTCATCGATACCTTCCTGCCCTTACACCTGACTGACCCCCAGTCGGACGAGATCACGGAAGAAATCGTTGCCAGTCTGAAGACCTACAACAAGCCCATAGACGGTATCATAACTTTTGCGGATACATATTGGCCATCTGTCGCAGCCGCCGCTAGCCAACTCGGCCTGCCGGCCGCAACGCCAGAAGCCCTCAGGATTGCCACCAACAAATACGAATCGAGCGTCTACGCTGGACATGAAGCATACCATGCGTCTAGCCTCGATGAGGCCTTGGCACTGCCTTCCAAACACCATTTGCCTTACCCTGTAATCGTCAAACCCTGTGGAGGCTGGAGTTCCGAAGGTGTATCACTGGTGAATACATCTGACGAGTTTGAAAGGGCCGTGAGGGCAATTAGCGCTTCTCGGCACGGACCTGAGATGGTCATCGAACCATACTGCGACGGCCCCGAATACGATATTAATATTGTGCTACAAGACGGAGAACTGCTTTTTGAAGAGGTCTGCGATGACCTACCCAAGTCTGCCGACCCTAATGGCCCAACTACGTGCTCCCTCGGCGGCTTCCACGAACTCTATAGCATCTATCCATCAGTTTTACCCGAAAATGAGCTTCAGATGGCACGCGAGTATTTTGTGGAACTCTTGCTCTCGCTAGGCCTTCGAGATGGTGTCTTCCACATAGAAGGACGTATCGAAAATTCTAGCGTCGAGTACATTCACAACGATGGCATCGCGGGGCTCGCACCCCGGACTATGACCCAATCCCAGGATTCAAAACCCAAACCCTTCCTCATTGAGATCAATGTGAGGCCTCCTGGCTCGGCCGCCTCTCGACTGCCGGAATCTACGCACGGTGTCGAATACTGGGGAGTGGCCGTATTATCTGCCATCCGTGACAATACACGTATGAGAGCGCTTGCACAACCTTTCCGCACGGGACCGCAGTATACCGGCATCATGGTCTTCATTTCCGCCGACTTCCCCCTCACTTGTCAGGGCATCTTCGATTCGGACAATGTCTGCGCAGACTTGATGGAACGCAGACCAGACTTGCGCCCTCATATCAGCTCATCGAATTGCCTGGTCAAAAGAGGCGACAAGGTTCCACATCCAAGCACTGGCCGAAACACTTTCGTTGCGCTTGTCAATGTCTTCTCTCGCACTAGTCGAGCCGAAGCGCAGGCTATCGCCCACGAGGTTCGCGCCGCCGTAAGGTACAGTTTTATTTGAACTTGTCACTGCGGTTACCTGTCACCTGTGAGTATTAGCCAGGATCTCTGGTTCTCCGGTCAGGTAGAAATGGAGCTCAATGAAAGACCAGGGTGCTCAGGTTATGGTGGACCATACCTTTCATATATGAACGAACATTATGCACCACTTCCGTATGACCTTACTTCACATATGCAGCCGATGTCCCACGCAGTAGAATCTCGGACCGGAGACCTGGAATTGACTATACAATCAGTGCTTGCAGTGTGATATACACCTCGGTGAAATGATGAGATTGGGAAATTTGCGGATTTGCACCAATCATGACTACCATGGGATGTCGCCCTGCGGTATTGTTGATATGCAGCAAATGAGATTCCGTCGCTTCCCCGCGCTCCCGCGTGTCACGTTAGTCATGGCCACTGTTGACCCCCACCTCGATATATAGTTGCCGAGCTCCTACAACTTCCTCACTGTATCACCTCAATCAGACTCAAAGTTAACCTTCCTGCGATGGCTCGGGTGAAGCTTACGCGTCAACAACTCGACGAATATTTCGACCGCCTGTGCGTACCACCATCTGCTCGAACCTATGATATCTCACTTGCTTCGGATGCGTCAAAGCTGGACTTTCTCCAGCTGGTACAAAGGCACCAGCTTGCCAAAGTTCCATGGGAGAATCTCACACTACATTACTCATGGCACGGTCTGATCAATGTCTCGGTTCCTCACTTGTTTACGAAAATCACGCAGAATACCGGACGTGGTGGATATTGCATGGAAGCAAACTACCTTTTCCATGTGGTGCTCTACAGCTTGGGCTTTGATACGCACATGTTAGGAGCCAGGATCTTCCGGGGCCATGGCTATGGTGGCTGGACGCACAACGTGAACGTGGTGACGATCGGGACTCAAAGATATCTTCTCGATGGCGGCTATGGACCACGGGGACCATCGTGGGCTATGCCTCTTGAGCATGAAACAGTATCGGAGCAAATTTACCCCGCTCAAGCAAAACTCGTCTACGACCGAATACCCGAGAATCTGGACTCTTCACAACGCCTGTGGATATATCACTACCGGAAAAATCCACAAGAGCAATGGACGCCCCAATACTGCTTCGCGGAACTTGAGTTCATCCCGGCGGATATCGAAGCCATGAACTTTGAGCCGTCATTGAACCGCCGCACGTTCTTCACTCACAAGGTAGTTGCTGCCCGATTCACCACCAATGAAGATGACGATATGGGCACATTCCCAAAAACTCCCGGGCAGGAGGTAGTAGGGGAAGAAGTGAATGGGTCCGTGACCCTCGACCATGACGTGCTAAGATGGCGCAAACGCGGCGGAGAGAAAGTTGAGATACGGCTTAGATCGGAGAGAGAGCGAGTCCGGGCTCTTGAGCAGTATTTCGGCATTGTGCTTAGCGCGGATGAACAGCAGGCAATTATGGGCACTGCGGCTCAGATGGGTGGCGGCACTGTTGGTCTCGAAGAGACTGAGGATTTAGTGTGAGATAGTCCTATAGATTGTATGCCCATATGCTTTGCCACTACGATTTTATGCCTGCTATAAGGAGCGACATTGCTTCGATAACTTAAAATGCCGCAAGGACTTCATTCTGAGCGTGTGTTATTATGTTATTTATAAGCTAACACACTTTGCTAACGCTATCGCCTTTGATAACCCATGGCGCAAGACACCCGTACGGGCGCATGCCGGATAACTAGTTGATACCTGTGCAATATGAGTTCTACGTTCAAAGTATTCACGTAAATTGGAAACAACTTGGGAAAGGGCTGTAATTCAGGCTACTAAGGAACGTTCTGCAGTCCAAAAGATTATCCACGAGGTAGCTGACCACCCAAATTGCAAACGCTCCACCTTAGCTCTCACCGCTACTAATATGACTTTTCAGACAACCTTAAAACTAATTGTGTTACTTTAACAAGATAAAGTATTTGTCCACTCAACAACAGCCTTTACCGTGCCGTACTCCTCTCGGCCAGGCCTTAAGGGTTCCGCCGATGTAGCGGGATCCCACTCTGGACCTTGTAGCCTCCAATAAAGTCCATCCTTGCCATCCTGGCCCGGAAGTATTTGATTTAAAATTTCGCTGATGATGACTACAACAAGCTGCGCAGAATACCCGTTCGCAGAAGGGCATTTCAAAGACCCAACAACAAAAGGCATCCAAGCTGCTGCAGGCTGGAGAAGCGAAGTTTTAATCTTGTTATTCTCGTCCAGAAAACGCGTAGGGTCCCACACCTGGGCATTCGAGCCCCAGTATAGAGGGTGTCGTTGAACATACTCAATATCCACTCGCTTCTGACAACGCACGCAACAGATGGGCGGGTACAACTAAAGGGACTTGTACACCACTGCCATCGCTCGCGGGTTAAAGTCTGCAGCATTTTTGCGGTTTTAGAAAGAGTCAATATCAACAGACCTGCCCTCGTCACAGGTCTAAAGAAGGGCAAGCAGAGTGTAGAAGATTGCTCGCCATCATGCTTTAAAGGATAGTATGAACAAATTAAGTAGGTTAATAGAATCTAGTGTCTCAGCAGATTCGGCCAGAACCTTATATGCGAGCGGTGAAGACTAGTCCACATCTTTGAACCTCTACAGTCTGTAGCAGCTTATTCTAATTAGTTAGCTAAATAGCTTCTTATAAGTATAGTTAACTTTTTGCTTTACTCTTATCTTATACCTTACTATTTACTAGCCTATTCTATTATTAATTATTATAATAAGCTAGATCTTCTAGCTTCTTAATTATAAAAGGCGTACTGCCTTATCTTAATCCTTCTTCTAATAATCTACAGTTTCTTATCATGCTAGCTTTTGTTATCTTGCTTAATTATAATTTTTTCTCTTTAAAACACTCTACTCTAGCCCTAGAAAGTCTTTTAGCTTTTATAATTTCTTAACTAATAATTACTTTAACTTTAGAGTCTCTTTTACTCTAGAGTAGGATAATGTTTAGCTAAGGCTAAAAAAGTTGCTGCTAGCGCAGCTAGAGTATTATGTAAAGCATAAGAGTTAACTTTAAGCTAGTAATTATGCTGTCTCTAAGGTTTAGCGTTATAGAGAAGACTTAGTGTATAATAAAAACAACAGCTTAGAGGTAAAGATTTAGCTTTATAAAAGATGTTACTTTTAAAGTCTTTATAAAGCTGTAAAAGGTGTTAATAGCTATGACGTACCTAACGGGTTGGCCGGCCGCACGGGTTGGCCGGCCACTTTTGCCAAGCCCCCACTAAAACCACCCCATTCTGGCGCAAAACAGCCCACTTTAGCCCTATATAGAGCAATACAACACAAGATATTATTTAGAGTCTACTTCTGCTACTTTCTTACATATATATAAGACATGCCTAGTCTAATTGCACTGCCTATATTGCCTTTAACTTAGCTTACCTCTTTTAGCGTGTACCTGCGTCTTTAGCTTCTTTCTATTACTACGCGCTTTAAACTTTTTTAAAGCAGTTAGATAAGCTCTATCTTTAACTATTAAAGTCTTTTTTGCCTAAATTTACTTTCTTTTATGTAATCTATATTATGTAGCAGCTTTATTTACTGCTTAAAGCTTTATAATCTCTTTTTACACTAACACTAGCTTATGTGTAATAATTAATGCCCCTTTTAAGACTTTTTTAAAGGCCTTTACTATAGATGTTAGTAAGCTATCTATATGCTCTTAAATTTTTACTTTTATAAGCATTAATTATAACTTAAATTTAAGAGTATTACTTAGAGTTTATAACTACTAGGGCTTATTATTAATAAGTAGTAGTAGTAATAAAGTATATAACTAGATGTTAAAGGCTATTTTAACTTATTTTAAGTTAAATAGAACTAAACTAGCGCTTTAAAACCCTTTTTAGATATTACTAAAAGTAATTACTACATTATAAGCACGTATAAAGCATAGTAGGAACTTAAGTTTTATAATATAAGTAATCTAGTTACATATAAGATTTTTAGCTTAGCACTTATACACTTTTTTTAAAGAGGTAAAATAACCTATATTAAGAGGCTATAAAAAGTGTAATAAGTGTAAAGGCATATAAATAGTAATAATCTTATTCTTCTTATAGTACTACTAAAAATTAAGTAAGTTATAGCTTTTATAGCTATTAATAATAAAAAGCTAATAAGCGCTTATAACTCTTTTTTTTATATACTTATTAAAGTGCTTTAACTACTGCAGCCTAAGCTTATTTATTGTCTAGCTATTTTTAGAGACTATAATAACCTAGTTCTAAAGCAGATTTTTTTTTATACTAAGTAAAAAAGTAATAGCAGCTGTTTGCATTAATGACTCGGATGCATCGTCAGCATGGTCACACGATAGTCGGATGTGTCGGATGTGTCGTCACACGATGGTCGGATGCATCGGCAGATGCATCAGCACCATAGTCTGTTGCCAAGACCCACCCACTTATTTCGCATATATATAGACTCCCGCAAAGGACTCCTCTAGTAATACAATACAATCCAGTTCCTCATGTCTTTGGTGCTCTACATAGCTTCACAGCAGCTTTTAAAAATAATAAAGAGTAAAATAGCTTACTTTATTATATTAATACTTTAGATAACTATTATCTACTCTTTATTACCTTACTATATTACTTTTAGCTGTTTTTGTCTTTTTAAAGCTATAATAACTGCTTTAGTTAATATCTAGCCTATTATAAAGCTTAACTTATTGTCACGATTGTGCACGAGTAAGGTTATAGAGCTTCACAGAGGTCTAGTTTAATTACTACGTAAGGTATTATAGTAGGTACAAGACGTTGTGTAAGGAACAGGAAAGTTTAGGAGGAAATTAGTAATTAAATACTTAGCTTAAAAGTCTAAGCGCTTTAGGTATAAATTAAGCCTATTCTAAGTTTAGTTAGTGTTAAGGCAGTTTATGCTTAAGTTTATGTCTATGTTATGTTATATTTATGTTAGACATGCACTAATAATACTCTAGTACACGTTTAATATAGTTATGTCTAGGATCTAGGGAGGATACTGTAACAGTACCCCCCCTCTTATTAGGAAGGGAATTCTTTACATTAGTAGTTCTAGCATTAGGTTGTCTTTATTAGAGTACAGGTTTAGTTTAGATAGGTATTAGGCGTAGAATTAGGTTACTGCAGAGTTCTTTTATAGGGCTTCTATAGGTTCTTATAACAGTTTGTTGTATCTAGTTTATTTTATAAAGTATTTATAAATATGTTTTTTTTTATTAAACTAGATTTATTTAATGTCTTTTATAACATATTTTAGTTTATTATTTATAATAATAGGTTTAGGTAGTAGGTTTAGCTGTCTAAGTAGATAGTTAGATTTAGGGGCTGCTTAGCGCAGTAATAATACATAGAACACAGGGTGTATCTTTATGCTGTTAGGTAGGATTAATTAGTAAGTATGTAATAAGACTATATAAGCTACTATAAAAGGGCTAAAGTTCTTTTAATTAAGTTTTTTTAATTATTAGTTTATTTAAATATTTCTAGTGTCTAGCTAGACCTTCTTGCTAGCTGCATACGTAGGGGTAGGAGTTTAAAATTAGTTTACATACTCTTGTTAAAAAGCTTAAGCCTATGTAAGCTTTTTATAAACATATTTAAATATATTTTAAATTTTATTAATAAGTTTATTTACATCTATTACTTATACAGATTAATAAGTTAGTTAGAGGGTATTTAAAAGTAGTTTAAATTCTATTTAAAGGTAGTATCTATAGTTTACTAAGAATAAAAATACTTATGTTAATTTAGATGTTATGTTATTAGCTTTAAACTATGCTATAGCTAACTATTTTACCTAGTTATCTTACTAGTAGTTTATGTACACTTATAGGACTTATTTTATTACAGTGTTTGTGTTTTTAGTCTAGCTATTAGTCTCTAGGTAAAAAGCTGTAGATAGATAGAGGATAATTTAGAGCTATTTATAGAGTTTGTCCTAAAAGGCTAAGACAAACTGCGTACCCCTATCTAATATAATTATGTTAGGCAGGCTATAGTAAACTTATATGTATTAGTAGAATAACTAGGCTATATTAGGGGCAGTTATAGAGAAACATAGTATTAAGTATTAATACTTAGTTAAGTAATTAATAACTACTATAATATTTATATACCCTTTAGATAGAGGTAGGTTTATAATAAAATTAATTAATATGTCTTTCTAAGCTTATTTAGAAATTAGAAGTAGTTTAAGTAGGCTATTATACTTTTTTTAAGAGGCCTTTACTTTATAGTAAGTATAGCAACATAATATATATTAGCGTACAGTATAGAACATGCAGGGCCAGTAGTACTCTCTCTGTAGTAGGTTAAGAGTCTTTTCTTTGCCTAGGTGTCCTTTAATAGGCAAGTTGTATATAATTTAGAGTAGTTTAATTCTTAGTTTATTAAAATTAAAAATTATAAGTTAGTTATAGTAATATAGCTTACTATTTTAGTTTTTATAGTTAGCTAGTGTTACTTTTTTTAACTAACTAGCGCTGTTTTAAAGCAGGTCTAAGGTTTTTTAGATAAATTTATTATTTAGATACTTATTAGTAATAATTTAATTAATTATTTAATTTATTTTATTTAGGTTAAGGTCTAAAAATAGCTTAAGTTAGAGTAAAGTTTAGTGTTAAGCCTTTTATGCTTTTTCCTAAGTAGGGACATCTTAGAATTACTTTATAAAGGCATCTAGTTTCCTTCTGTTTTAACTAGGATAATAAGTAATTTTAAAATTAAAATAGGATAAGTATTTAAACTAATAGGCTTATTAGTAGCTAAATTATTTTATAGTTGTAAAGTACTATAAGTTCTTATAGTTAGATAAGACCTATATTAGATGCGCTGCACTTTCTAGTTTAGGTTGCTATTATTTAAAGTAGTGTACTATAGTAAGTAATTTTTTGTTGTAGATCTTATAATTACTTTCTACAAAACTTATTTTTTTTAAGAAGTATATAATAGGCCTAATAGTCCTGTCTAGCTTAGTCTAGAAGAGAACTCCTGCTACTATGTAGTCTAAGGCATTAGCTTCTACAAGTATTAGTAGTTTAAAGTTAAAGTAGTAGAGTATTAAGGCTTTAGTAAAAGCTTTTTTTAGCTAGTTAAAAAACTATTAGTAATTTAAATTAAAGTTAAATTAAACCTTTTTTTTAGTAAGTATAATTATAGGGCTTACTAGCTATAAAAAGTTATTAATAAATTATTAGTAAAAGTTAGTAAATTTTATAAAGGCTTAAACATTTTTTACATCTTTTAGGTATTACTAATCTAGCATAGTCTAAACCTTAACAGGGTCTATTTAGATGCTATTTATAGAGATTACATATTCTAAATACATAACCTTTAATTAGTAGAACTTGCATTTGTCTATGTTAA